AATCCATCCCAGTTGGCATTGGTCAAGTGTATGGTTGTGACAACCCCTGGACTGGAGGCATCTTCCTTGTTGCTCTACTTATCTCCTCCCCACTTATTTGTTTACATGCTGCAATTGGATCGACAGTGGGGATGTTTGCAGGTAAGAAATATGCCTCAGAGCTGATCACTCAATGAAAAGAAACCCACTTTTCTAGGATGCAGTTCATTCTATCCTGCTACAGGTTTGTAAAAACAGCTAAATGAATGCCACTAAAAAAGGCCTCTCCACTAACCAGAGAAACAATCTTAAGAGAGATGAAATTAGACAAGATTTATGGCACTTATTTGACTAATTGTAATAAAAAAATATAATGGAATAAATGTAGTCTGAGACAACAACCTTGGAAAAGGCACAATCATCCAACAGTAAGTTCTTTGTGATCTGAAGCACATTGTAGAAAATGTGAGCTGCCTTATGTTTGTGTTTTTAAACAAAACTATCTACAATCTGTATAGTTAAGACCATTTGGCAAGTTTTGTACAGGTCTGACATTTAATCTAGAAGAGTAAGGTCAGGGGAAGGTGTCTGGGGATAAGCATGGTGATGAAACAGAAGACAAGTGAGAGCATTATAGCACGAAACATATTAATCTTAATAGTGACATAAAGGTTGCCTGTACCCTACATAGTGTGCTCTCCTTTTTACTGGTACTCTTGAAGCCTATGAGAATCCTGCAGAAGTACCTGTGAGGTCAGACCCTCAGCTTCCATCCCAGTGGAGGATTTCCACAGCTTTGATGGAGTGACCACCTCCAGTAACTGCACTGCATCTAGCAAAGGTCACTGGGAAGAGATGGAAAACTCTGCTCACCCCCACAAAAGGCACTCAGCTGTGCCTCTGATATTCAAGGCCAGGCCTGAGGTTTGAACAGTACAGAAAACATAGCTTTCTGCAAGAAAGACAGCCGGGTGGGAAGGTCCTTCTGCACACTGGCTAGATCCTCCATCTGGGGGAACTAACTACAACACACTCAGTGCATAATGCAGAAAGTTTTGCCTGAAAGAAACCTTTGAGACTGGGCCAAATTCCAACCTAAGGGACATTATGATGCTGCAAGGGCTGGAGCAGCTCTGCTCTGGAGACAGGTTGAGAGAGCTGGGCTGCTTCAGCCTGAAGAAGGGAAGGGTCCTGAAGGGGAGATCTTAGAGCTGCTCCAGTGCCTAAGGGGCTACAAGAAACTTGGAGAGGAATTTTGGACAAGGACCTGTAGGGACAGGACAATGGGGAATGGCTTTAACCTTCCAGAGGGGAGATTGAAATGAGCAGAAGCTCTTCCCTGTGAGGGTGGTGAGGTGCTGGGACAGGTTACCCAGAGAAGCTGTGGCTGCCCCGTCCCTGGCTGTGTTCAAGGCCAGGTTGGATGGGGCTTGGAGCAACCTGCTGTAGTGGAAGGTGTCCCTGCCTGTGTATAGGGGGTTGGAACTGGATGAGCTTTAGGGTCCCTTCCAACCCAAACCATTCCATGATAATATAAGTCTATGAGTATCAGAGCTCTAAAATAAGTACCTTCATTTGATTCCATCTTTTTTACTCATGTGCATGTTATATGCGAGTGTGAGCACAGTTGTATTTGTCTAGATGTCACAGGAAAGAGATAGCAGATTCCCAGCAAGTGACGGGTCCTCCTGCAGATACCTCTCACACCTGACCTCACAGACTTGCCTTTTATCTTGCAGCGCTGAGCATTGCATCACCATTTGACAGCATCTACCTTGGCTTACACAATTACAACTGTGCACTCGCCTGCATTGCAATTGGGGGCATGTTCTATGCCCTGACCTGGCAGACTCATTTGCTGTCACTTGCTTGTGGTATGTATCTTGTACATAAAGGGATGTTATAAATTTATGCAGACGGACAGACTATGAGTAGTACAGGTTTAAAGCCAGCCACCACTGCTGCAAAACTAGGTACTACGCAAGAGCTATTTTTGTGATGGTATCAGCTTGGATGTGCAAGCTGAAAGTGCAGAGAGAAGGGCCTTTAGGCCCTCATAACATAAAGAACACCTACAAATAGTGGAAGCACTGTTCATGAAAGGAGAAAAAGAAATTAAAGATAATAGAAAGGCCACCATCACTTGCTCTTGACGAAACCATCTTCTTCATTCACCACCCATGTCTACAGAGCACATACGACCAAATGTAGTCCCTAAAGCCAGATTCAGCACTGGGGCATTTGAGCTAATTGTTGAATTCTAACTTTAATCCTCACATCAGGTATTTGGGAAGATGTTTTTTTTCACTGTGCAGTTGTACAATATTACTATTTCTGATTACTTTGGAGAGATGAACAGTAGTTTCCTCACCTGAGTTGTCTGGTTTTCTTTTCTCAGCATTATTTTGTGCCTACTCTGGAGCAGCTCTTGCTAATGCCCTATCTGTGGTAAGGTGTTTTGGGCTTTTTACTTTGTTTTAACTATATTTTGGTTTGTTATGATATAATGTTAAGGAAATGCCCCAAAATTCTCCATGTCAGTTTTGTTTTGACAGCATTGACATGAGAGCACTGCAGACAGTGGCACATCTTGTACAAATTCTGTGTCACTTGAACTGTGCACTTGCAGACTCTACAGCTCTTAGTAAGATTTTGGAGACCTTTGAAGCCTGTTATCCACAGTGGGATTGTGCACGTCTATGTGAATTCCAGCAACAGTGTATGGTTTGAGATGCCATACATAGCTGCAGGCAATATTTTTGAACACATTCCAGTGGTCTAAATTTTTACTTGCTTCTTCCAAGGTCTTTCACCCATCCTACCCATAGATATTGTTTAAGTTTGATCTGGATATAAGAACTAAAATGAGGGCAGGACTGAGCAGATCCAGATAGATCAAGAAGGAGGTGAAGCCAGATATGCCAAGCTTTGTTTCTTAAGATCTGAGAGATTAAAGCAAACCCACATTTTAATAAAACTGATTTAGTAACTTAAAGGAAAAAGAAAATTAGAACTAGAAGCTTCATACATTAAATGTATTCATATGGCATCCACCCAGCACCGTGTAGGTTCCTGCAGATGGGTTGCTTTGTTCAGCATGCTTGCTTTTCGGATGCAGCATTAAAAAAAGACATCTACTTTCTCTCCTGTGATCTTGTTTTTGGCAGACCCCAAGTCAGGTCAAGGGTGGAGTCACAGAGCAGGACTGACGGTTAGATGCAATTCCAGTAACACATGGGCACTGGTGATGAGGAATATGTGTGAATAGTACTCAGTACATGATGTTTTACAGGACAATGAGGGTAGGATTTGGCTCATTTATTGGAGAATTTAGATGTTTATGTGTAAGCTGGATGTCTTGGCTTTCATTACAGCCAGCAAGGCTCCAGAGCCTGCTTCAGTTGCTTCAATATTGGTGCCAAGTGCCATTTAGCACCAACAGCTACATCCCCAAAAGGACTGAGGTCTCCAGTGTGGGATGCTTTATGTAACCCCATCCATTTCAGATAAACTGGATACCTCTGGTGAGCAGCTGAACTGATGTTTTGTAGCAGAGGAGCTTCCCAGACCTCCAGTAACCAGAGGAACCAAGCTCACATGTACGCCTGCCATGGAGCCACCTACATCTGGGCATCCTCCTCTATATCCAAATGGAGGATCCTATATGGAGGGGTTCAGGAGGACATGTTCTATGTCATGCTGTCCCCAGGGAAAGCACAAGTTCTCCCTGCTTCTCAAATGCAAGAATTCAGCAACAGATGGAAGTAAGCAAAGGGAACAGGCAAACTGAAGTACCAAAATGCACCTCTCTCCTTTCCCCCCAGGTTGGGCTGCCACTCTGCACGTGGCCTTTTTGCTTCTCTGCACTCCTCTTTTTGCTGATAAGCTCAGACAACCCAGCCATCTACAAAATCCCCCTCTGCAAAGTCACCTACCCAGAAGCCAACCGGATCTTCTACCTGAGAATGAAGAGAAGAGCCTCAGAGAGCAGGAGAGAAGAGCAGAAACGAAAGCAGCAGAAACCCTCCAGCGACTCGAAAATAAACACAGGAGGAACCCCCCTGTGGACCCCCGAAACCCGCCATGCTTACTGATTTCAGATATACACGACTGTATAGTTTTGGGGTAGCTTTTCAAATGCTAGCCAGTCATACCACAGCCACAAACACCACCTTTGGCAGCAGTCTGCAGGCTGGGGATTCAGCATCCCACAGTCCAGAGGAAACACAATTTGCCCTTGAGCTAAGCTTTCCCATATGCACTCAGGTAAAATAGTAATAGCTTCCTTATCAATCCACACGTGGTTAACTGGAAAGTCACCTCTTATCAATAATAATTATAAGGATAGGCAGAAGAACATTAAAGCTGACAAGAGGCTGTATTTAATTTCAGACATGTAATTTAACAAAATAAATATGCTGAGAAGGCATTGGTATCTAATAATAATAAATAATGTAAGAACTGTGTCAAGAGCAGCTGCACTTCAAATTAAGAACATGTACCTTTGAAAGTGGAATAAACAGACTAATCTCTTCCTTTCTCGTGTCCCATCAATGTCTAACCCTCTTAATTCCTCTTAACAGCTACAACATACACTTCTTACAGAGTGAGTACTATTTTCGGTGCCATCTCCTGACTCCTTGTTAAGTGCCAAGAAAACGAAGGTGTAAATATACATGCTTTAATCAGACTAGGAAAGTGACTAGTTTGCAATGCTCAAACATTTTTCTTTCCCTTGCATAAATTTCTGCCTTACAAATGGAAGACCTTTCTCCTGCTGAATG